AGCCGCTCCTTTTTTTCTTTTTATCTTTTTATTCTGGGATTTTATTTACCTTCTATAATTGAAACTTTGTTGCTGCTCCAGCTCCGAGGCCATGGCCTGCCGAAAGCGGGTATCTGGGGTTTGTTTAGCTTCTAAAATTGTAACTTTGTTGCTTTCGGTGCTCAGAGCCCGGCCACCGCAGGGAGGGAACCTTGGCTTCCTCCATCACTGGAGCAAGCATGCCTCCTGTTTGCTTCAGCTGCCTGGCTGCCGGCCGCCATCTTGGTTGGCAGTTAATTTGCATAATGCCCTGATTAGCCAATGGGAAGGGTAGCGGTCGTATGCTAATTGCCATGTTTCTCTTTTATTAGATAGGATGTTTTCCAAATTTATTTTTGAGTATATCTAGTAAAGCTTTTATACACAGGGGTTCTGATAAAGCTGTGTATCTTTTTATTGATTATTTTTTATTTTATTGTCTTTTTTGTTAATCCTCACCTGAGGATATTTTTCCATTGATTTTTTAGAGAGTGGAAGAAAGGGGGAGAGACAGAGAGAAACATTGATGTGAGAAAGACACATCGATTGGTTGCTTCCCACCTGCACTCTGACCAGGGCCAAGGATTGAGCCTGTAACTTAAGTATGTGCTCTTGACCTGAATTGAACCTGGGACCCTTCAGTCCACAGGCCAACACTCTACCCACTGAGCCAAACCAGTTAGGGCAAGGCTGTGTGTCTTTATATCCATCAACTTTTATTAATTGTCCATACCTTGTATGGTGTTGCATCATATATAGTGTAGAGAGTAGGAAGTTATTTAGGAAGATGATATGGTGCTTTTAGTTCTTCATAAATTCTCTAATAGAACAACAATGATCTCCTGATTGCTAAATTAAAAAGGTTCTATCTTAAAAGTCTTCTTAAAAAGGCTCTATCCTCTCTGCTTTCTCTTTCATCTTGATGCTATTAATATTTCAGAGTGTTTTTTCCTTTAGCTTTTATGACTTCAATTTCTCTGCTCCTCTGGTTTTTCAGTTTGCTGTTCTCAGTATTTTCACTGATTCCTTTTTCTCTGCTTGACTTTTACATGAAAGTGCTCCCATGGTTCCTTTAATGTCCTCCTTTCTTTCCCACATTATAAATTCATGTGTATTTTCTGGCTTTATCAGCTTCCTATATATTAATATTCTCAAATTGGTATTTCCCGCCTCTCTCTTTTAACCTAGGCTACATAAAATTATTTCCACTTGCTCTCTGGCTGAGTGGCTCGGTTGGAGCATAGTCCATCCCGTACACCAAAAGGTGGCAGATTCAGTTTATGGTCAGGCTACATATCTAGGTTGTGGGTTTGATCCCTGGTGGGTGGGTACAGGAGGCAACCAATTGATGTTTCCCCCCTTCCCCTCTCTCTCAAATCAATGAACATAATCCTTGGGTGAGGATTTTAAAAAGTTAAAAGAAATTATTTCCACTTGCTTATGGGATGCTTCCATCTACTTTAAAAAAAATTAAACTTACAATTTATTAAGAACTTACTATATGCCAGGTATTGATTATAGTACAGGGGATACAAAGATAAAATATTGTGACCCTGAAGAGCTTTCATAGGTAACATGACAGGCACTTCACATTCAGAGTGCATAAAAATGAGACTCTGAGAGTTCTAGAGAGACTAGGCAGGTAATGTGTATAAATGAAGTACACTAATTGTGTGGAATAGAATAAAGTTGGAAGTGATGACGTCTTTGGAGAAGTAATTTTTAAAAATCTTGTTAAATATATTTTTTATTGTTGATAGTATTACAGTATTCCCCCCACCCCACCCCTTAACCTCCTCCTCTCAGCCGGGTCCCCCCGCCCCCATCAGGTCTTCACTACCCTATTGCCCATGTCCATGGGCTATGTATATAAGTTGTTTGGTTTATCTCTTCTCATCCCCCCCCACCCCAATCCTACATTGAGAATGTCAGTCTGTTCTATGCCTCCATGCTTTCGGTAGAGAAATAGTAATTTTTATGTGAAATCTATGATTAAAAATATTGGCAACTAATTAAAATGATTTTGTTGTTGTTGTTAATCCTCCCCCAAGGATATTTTTCCATTGATTTTTAGGGAGAGTGGAAAAGAGAGGGAATGACTGAGAGAAACATGGATGTGAGAGAAACACATCGATTGGTTGCCTCTTACACAAGCCCTGAGCAGAGCCAGGGAGGAAGGAGTCTGCAACCAAGGTACATGCCCTTGACTGAAATCAAAGCTGGGAACCTTTGATCCGCAGGCTGACGCTCTGTCCACTGAGCCAGACAGGCTAGGGCAGCCGTGGGCGAACTACGGCTCACAGGCTGGATCCGGCCCGTTTGAAATGAATAAAACTATTGGTAAAAAAAGACCGTACCCTTTTATGTAATGATGTTTACTTTGAATTTATATTATTTCACACAAACACTCCATCCATGCTTTTGTTCCGGCCCTCCGGTCCAGTTTAAGAACCCATTGTGGCCCTCGAGTCAAAAAGTTTGCCCACCCCTGGGCAAATGATTTTAAAACACTGGAACTATGCAGGTCAAAAATCATGTCTAAGTTTGGATTTAGCCTGTAGGTACCATCAATTTGCAGCTTTTGTTAAAATATGATTTATTATACATGGATTTGTATTTATGGCAGGCCCATCCCCTTGGGTCTTTCATAGTGCCCCATGCCAGAGCAAACTGTGGCCTTGAACCATTGCCTGGCCTCAGCCGATAGGCTGCAGGAACAAAACAAGACATGAATTCATAATCTTTCTCCAAATCTGCTCTTTTTTCCTTAATCTTTATTTTGCTTTCATTTATTTGCATTTCTTTCATTCTGGTTTTCAACTTTTTACATTATAAAACTGTAGTATGGCATGTTAATTGTTCCACAACAGTTTTCTTTGGACCAAAATTATTTACATAGTGTTATTTTGGGGTAGACATTTAAATTTTTTTTTTTATTCTTTAAGGTAACCTTTTATTATAAGAGTAAAACATATAAGTATGTTTATATACTAGTTTATTATGTTAAGAACTGATAGTTTACTACTTTTTTCCCCCTTTGAACCCTTAGTTGCACATAGGAAATGTTTATGAGGCTGGGAAATTGAACCTGTTGACAGTTATTCAGTTATTAAATGAAGTCTTGAAAATAATGAAATATGAATGTTGTCAGGCTGACCAAGCAAAACTGACAATAGACCTTCGCTTCCTTGAAAAAGAGGCCAAATTACAGAGAGAAAGATTATTGGATCTGCAGCATATGAGGTACACCAGTAAGATTCTCTGTTATTTTATTGGGTGAGGAATAGAATGGTTTTAATAAATTTTCAGCACAACTCATGTAGTTTAACAACTCTTTAGCTTTGGCAAACAAGTGTGAACATTTTACTAGTACTCAAAAACCTGTCATTAGCTTTCAGAGAGACACACGAAGTAGAAAGGAAAATTAATGTAATTTTCTTTATGTCTGGAATATATTTGCTGTGAGTGATAATTCTTTATGAAATAATTTTAACTTTTCTATTGCTTTTCTTTTGTGGGATCTACTAATAAAATTAGGGCTCAAGCCCTAGCTGGTTTGGCTCAATGGATAGGCCTGCGGACTGTAGGGTCCCAGGTTCGATTCCACTCCAGGGCACATGTCCAGGTTGCTGGCTCGATCCCCAGTAAGGTGTGTGTAGGAGGCAGCCAGTCAGTGATTCTCTCTCATCATTGATGTTTCTCTCTCTGTCTCCCTTCCTTTCTGAAATCAAAAAAAAAAAAAAAAAAAAAAGGATCTAGAGAAATTAAAAAACAAAACTAGGGCTCAGAAAAGTTTTTTATTTGAGCAGAGTGACTGAGGTATGGGCTGTCTTTAGGCATGGACAGGACAGATAAGGGAGTAGAATTTTGATTCGAGTTCAGAACCAGGAAATAAATTATATTTTATTTTTTTATTGATGTTTTTTTGCCTGGCCATTGTGGCTCAGTGGTTGAGTGCCGACCTATGAACCAGGAGGTCACCTTTCAATTCCCAGTCAGGGCACATGCCCAGATTGCAGGTTCAATCCCCAGTAGGGGGTGTGTAGGAGACAGCTGATCAATGATTCTCTCTCTTCATTGATGTTTCTCTCTCTTCTCTTTCTCTCTCTCTGAAATGAAGGGAGAAGAAGAGGGAGATAGAGAGAGAAACATGGGTGTGAGAGAGAAACATCGATCAGTTGCCTTCTGTACACACCCAGACTGGGGATTGATCCCACAACCCCTGCATGTGTCCTGACCAGGAATGGAACTAGTGACCTTTTGGTGCATGGGACTATGTTCAACCAACTGAGCCACACCACCCAAGGCTGAAAAAAATTGTATTTTAAAGATAAATGGAGTAATAGGTGTATTATTGCTTTCTTTTTTAAAAAATATTTTTTATTGATTTCAGAGAGGAAGGGAGAGGAAGAGAGAGATAGAAACATCAATGATGTGAGAGAATCATTGATCAACTGCCTCCTGCACGCCCCCTGCTGGGGACAAAAGCCCGCAACCCAAGCATGTGCCCTTGACTGGAAAGGAAATTTATTTTGCACATTCCTGTATATCGAGCACTTAGTACGTGCCAGCCAATGTTCTAAGCCCTTTACAATTCATCTAATTCCACAACTACCCTATAGATCAGGGGTGGGAATCTTTTTTTAAAAAAATTTTATTTTTGAAAGTATTACATAGGTCCTCCTTCCCCTGCCCCCCCAATAACTTCTTTCAGCCTGCTCCTGCCCTCCTCCCATCCCAGGCCCTCAGCACCCTATTGTCTGTGTCCATATTTATTTTTATTTTTATTTTTTAAAAATATATTTTATTGATTTTTTACAGAGAGGAAGGGAGAGAGATAGAGAGTTAGAAACATCGATGAGAGAGAAACATCAATCAGCTGCCCTGCACATCAGAGTTTATTCAACTTATATGTGCTGTATTGACTTTATTTCTTTCCTTTTTCTACAAACTTCTTAAATTTTACTCAATACTTTTATTATATATTTGTGTTTTGAATAATTATTTTTGTGCTATTATAGGCATAAATTAGAAGAAGATCTTACAACTATAACACATTCTATTGTTGAAAAACAAGAAAAATGGCATAAAAAGTGGAAAGAATTTCTTGGTTTGTCTCCTTTTAATCTAATAAAAGGTTGGACTCCAGTAAGTAATATTGACTTGCCTTTTGCCTTTTTCAGTTTTTGTTTGTTTTCTTTATTGATTAAGGTATTACATATGTGTCCTATCCCCTCATTGCCACCCCCCCCCCATCCCACTCATGCCCTCACCCCCCTGGTGTCTGTGTCCATTGGTTAGGCTTATATGCATGCATACAAGTCCTTTGGTTGATCTCTCCTCCTTACCCCCACCCTTCCCTACCTTCTATCTGAGGCTTGATAGTCTGATTGCTTCTCTGTCTCTGGATCTGTTTCTGTTCATCAGTTTATGTTGTTCATTATATTCCATAAATGAGTGCGATCATGTGATATTCTCC